CCAAAATAAAGTAAAATTTATTTCCTCACACAAACAAAGCAAGCAAGCCAACCAAACCTTTAAACTACAAGTATTAGGAAAATAGCTCTAATGGATGCATTTGAGATAACAAAGAGCATTCACAAAACAATCTTCATTTCACGATTGAATGAGTGGAAACGTTTTCATCTTGCACAAAGAATTGACGCTTGGATGACTGGATAATTGATATTTATCATACCATTGTGTATACATCTTATACAGTAAAGAAAGTTCGAGCAACAGTCGAGTCATCTTAAATATGCTTGAATTTCATATAAGTCGGTGTTACAAATAAGCCAATACGGAATTGTGAGAATACAAAGAAATATTTTACAATATTATAAAACATATGAAATATAAAACAGTTTATTGTTACTTGTTTAAATGGTTCTATACCACGGGGTATAACCGCCGTACAGTTGATTCCGGACGTTAATCGCTACATCGCGAAGCAATGTTGGTAGCTATACCGTTCTTATATTTACACCAATGACTTATTGACTAACTATTCAGTTAAGTATTTAATGTTTATAAAAACAAAATTTACTGCTCCTGGCAGCATTGTATATCATTTATATTACATGAACACCATGTGACTATTTTAAATAGACAGGTCTGTGAATAACTTGTACACATTGCGAAGCAAACACTATGTGTAACTCAAACTTGATTAAGCTACAAATAGAGCATAGTTGGTTGGCTCTTTCACTAAATGCGACCGTGTATTTTGTGCTTTGTTGTTGTTAAAATACATAATACGAATGTGAAACCCGTTGTTTTAATTGTATTTGAAGACATTTACTTGAAAAACTGACCTCAGAATTTTGACACTGTGCGATTCATTCTCCTTGTAGTTTGTTTTCTTTCTTTAGTACCGTTCGTTGTACATTCTTGTAATGTTCGTTGTGCAAAAGCCTATCAATACGGTAGAAATGTGTATGACACGGCGTGACAAATGTTCAAAGCTTTTTAAGCGAGTTATAAAACTTTTCAAAGAAAATTCGTCGTAGAAAAACGTTATATTCATGGATGTTCTGCTCCAGTAAATTTTCTGATCCATGACAAGCTAATAGCAAACTCACCAACAATATTTGAATATTCATGATATGAACGTGGTTATACCCGTGTATATTCAAGTCAGCATCTACGACTCACTTGCATTTCAAATTGTAAATATCATCAATATTAAAGTCATTTAAAAACTATTTTCAGTTGTTGTATGTCGAACAATCATATAAAACGACAATGAAAATTCATCGCACTTCCAAAAATTCCACATCAGAAATGATTGCACTTACAGTGATAATTCATCGCATCTATAGTTAAAATGAATCGCATTCAGTAATCAATATTATGGATTCTGCTGCTTAAATAACACTTTTTTGGACTTTAATCCTGTTATTATACATTAAAAAGTTATATTCTAATGAAATTCTGTTAAAACATACATTCAAATCTATTATTTTGTATTTTCAAAAAGTAAACAAACGCAATTTTCCCCATCATCCTTTATTCTACAATAGACATACTCGCATACAACAGTGAAAATGAGCTAACTGGATTCGCACTTTATATACACTGATCAAGACGTAAAGGGAAGTAACGATAATTACTACAGAACAATTAAACAAGGGATCAAAAAAAGCAAACAATTTGAAAATGTTGTAGTTTTACAATAAAATGTTAATCATACAATAATTACACACGCATGTAAAATTTTTAAGCACACACATGGAGAACACATCCTAACTTAACATTGAATTATGGGAAATGACTTAATAAAACAAAAATCTTATAAGGCCGTACTTATTAGACTTTAAACAAATTTGAAAATAGGACACAGATTTGAGGCCGTATCTTTTTTAACGGACATGTACATAGATTAGCGATTGACGTCACGATGGGCACATATTTGAGAAACGGACACAGATTTGAGGCCGTACACAGATCTGAGGTTTACATATTTACACAAAAACTGTCAACTGAAAAGGCTGTTAATTACATTAAAATAGTTGCTTTAGTATTTCATCAATGTTCTTAATATATATATAAAAAAATATTCCCCCTTCAATTCTTTTATTTAAATTATTGTCGAGTCCGCAATTTTTGTATTTTTATATTCCTGTATTTATATAATATATGTGTAAGGAACTTGCTCATTGTTGAAGGCCGTTCGGTGACCTATAGTTGTTTTAATTTCTGTGTCATTTGGTCTCTTGTGAAGAGTTGTCTCATTGGCAATCACACCACATCTTCTTTTTTGATATTGAACAAAATTCTTCGGTAAATAAAAAAAAGTTTATAACTCACAGTATATGAAATCGTATTTGTTTTCTCCATCAAGAAAACGGTAGACCATGTAGAGATGACGCGTTTTTGTCAATTTTTATTCACATTCATTTGCTTCATTACGGATATACATGAAAGTTATATTCGAAAAGATAAAGGTTTCTTCATTTAACATATGTGTATGTCTTTATAAAACTTAATGTTATTGTATAATGATTGTTTGTCACAACGAATTTTTGAAAGTTCAATAAAACACTATAATTCTCAAAAATTATATGAAAATATTTCGTGAAAGGGTTATTAACAAGAAAATTTAAGAAGTTAAAGGCTAATAGTTACTAAAAATCCAAAAGTAAAGGCTCATCAAGTTGTTTGGCATAAAAAGGGGATCCGACTTCTATTTTAAAGAACACTTTCATTAATAAGATAATTAGTATGCAATAGTCTAATAATTGGTCAAATGAAATTAAATGCAAGCACTATGTTATTTTTATATTCAAAACACGCCTACCCTGTTATGATGACGCATAACAAAGATATTTGACCCATATATTTTGTTTTCAAGTCATATGAAATTTGAATGTTGATATATACATATTGCTTTAAAATATATAAATAATGAAATTTGAAGCGAGATGATATACTCGTTGTTTCTGTATTAAACATTTAAAGGACAAAACAGGTGACCCAAACAAGCGTGAATAGAAAAGGTGTACCTGACTTTTTTAACATGATAAGATTGTTAGCAATTTTAAGGATTTTTTTTAATTTATTGTTACCGGGGGAGAGATGCAAGTCAGTGCTTTTAAAGAACAATATCTTACGTTTATGTGAAAACTCATGTAAATTTATGCATGCATCTTCAACATTCCAAACCGATATAACTTACCAAAATCAGTTGTTTTGTGAAATTTGTATTTAGTTAAAACTATTTATATTTTTTTTCTGAATTCCGTCTAAGTAAAGTTACTATTTAAAGATAAGTACTAAGCAAATCAACATACTCACACATCGTTTAACGAACATAAAGATGTATCGTAGAGCATTGCACAATATGAAATGCTCCAAACTTGCATGTCTGCATGAATTATAAATAGCCAAATATAATAATTTAATTCATTTCGTCAGGATTTTTTTTTTTGTGAAAATGCCTAAATGACCTTGTTCTCAAAATCCTACTCAATCAATTAATACATAAGGAAAACGGAAAATATTTTATCTACAAAAGTTTTGAGTCATTCTTTAGTAGTTAGAGAGCACTCGAAAGAAGTAAGGTGCACTCGAATCTCGAAGTTACATTTTGTTCTGATTTATATCTTTAAATATCATTTTTCAGTATCTCTGTTTGTTTATAAATAAAGCATACAATAGAAACATAGTACACATGACAAAATACCACTTTTTGATGTAACCAATACATTTATTGAGTCATCGGTTCAGAAAGAAAAATACGCATTTTAACTGTATTGCACGTATATGAATACTTCGATACGTATATGTATCCAAATACTTCAGTTTTGCAACATCTCAAGGTTCATATTTGAATAAATTGGGGAATAGAATGTTGCTAAAAATATTTTCATGAAAACTGAGCTCAAAAATGGTTCAAATCTGACTTTTTGTAGGGCCACACATTTACGTTTATGCTTTCCCAATTTTATTACTTTTAAAAGTTGTTTGTACCTGTACTATCAAGAATACAATAAGGGGCAATACGATTACTATTTGGAATTTTAGATAAAAGCAATTGCATGTTTTGTGAATTTAAACTTTTTTCAAAGTTCAAAACCCCTACTATTTCTGGTTGCCATAGCGATGCTTCATAAATATGTTATTGGTTAATACTGTGAAATTATATCATGGCAAGATGCATCCGTGTATATTTACGTCCATTCGTTTTTCGATTTGAGATATTAAAAAAAATAAAATAAACCAAAACACTTTGATTTCTCATTTTGTTTTTCGTTTTTTAAGAAATGGAAAATGAAAAATGAAAACACTTTCGTTTTTCGTTTTTTGTTTTTGATATCCCAAATATACACGGACCAAGATGTCGTCTTTATGATATTAGGGTCGAGAAATGACTCTTTTTACAGTTTTGATTTCCTACTGAACTTTTTGAAATTTATATTTGACCACGTTTTTGGGTAGTATTTTGACAATATTAAAATAAGGAGATGTGGTATGATTGCCAATAAGACAACTATCCACCAGAGTTTAAATGAAGTAGATGTACGCAACAATAGGCAACCGTACTGCCTTATGTATCTCATGAAATGCAATTTGTGTCCATGAAAACCAGTGGATTTGAAAAAAAATATACCATTTTCATAATTATTGTGTTACATTACATGCAAGACATCATTAAACATCATTTTATGACAAAAAAAAATCCATTCAAAGCTCAGTGCTTGCTGACATGGCCTCTTAAATGACAAATTTTACATTTTTCCATTTTGGGCAAAAATTAAAGAAGATAGAGAGAAAAAGTAAACAGTATAAATGACAAGCAGAACACGATCCACCAACATGAATTATATTCTAGTGTACAATTATAGAGAGTGGTTATTGTTCAAGAAGAACAGAGATCCAGACTCTTTAGAGCATCTAATGCCACATGCACACGGGTAACTCTCTTTTGAAAAATACATCTACAAGTCCATTTCCGACTGGAAGAAATAAGTCGTTTTTAACCTCAATCTTGCGTTGACTACTACACAAATCAACGTTTGGCTTACTGATTACAATGCAAACTGTTTGCTGTTTTGAATTTCAACCACGCTTTGTTTAAATAGTCACTACTGTTAAAATTGTGACATGATATAATAAAGTTGAAGTCCATTCTCCTTACCTCAGCGTTGACAAATCTTTCGTCGTGTAATATATTTATACCTATTTTCTGTGCAACTAATGATACATAAACATCGTCAAGAAATATCGTTTTCATATAAGGAAATGCAATTCTCAATGTTCGTACTACATTTATGTGCGTCAGAACAGATCCACCTGAAAGAAACGGCGGTAAAACAGGTGGCTGATATTCTTCCTCTGATATGTACCATTTTCTATATCTTGACGATTTTGATCTCACCGGATTTTTCGGATTACACTGCTTATGTCCAAACATTACATCTCTACCGTCCCAAATTTTTTCACGGGAAAATTGTAACAGGTTTGGTATAGTTACAAAATAATCGTCGTCAACAAAAAACACAAACTGGCTGTCTGAACAGTTCCATACAACCCAGTCATACGCCATCGATGTCTTATATATGTTATTCCTGTATTCGTCCTTAAATGAACCTTGAACTATATCGTTGTTTTCAGCATATTCGTACCTTACTTGTTCGTCAAACTTGGAAGTATACCCGAGAAGGAAAACTACTCGTACATTTTCCCCATGACATGTTCCCCATGTGGAGCGAATGGCTTTTCTTTGGTCAAAATGTCCAATGTAAGACTTAACCAATATTATAAGTTCGGTATAAGCTGCACATTTCACATTGTATATTGTGCTATATTGGTTGTATATATGATTTATTGGTTGGCTAGAGGTCGTGCCATTGTCCTTTAGCTCATTCAAAATGTCTTTCACGTTGTTTAGAGGATAATTATAATGAAATTCATAACAACGCTGCTGTTTCGCTGGTGGCTGTTTCGCTAGTAGCTGTTTCGCTGGTGGCTGTTTCGCTAGTGACTGTTTCGTTGGTGGCTGTTTCGCTGGTGGTTGTTTCGCTAGTGGCTGTTTCGCTGGTGGCTGTTTTGCTGGTGGCTGTTTCGCTAGTGGCTGTTTCGCTGGTGGCTGTTTCGCTGGTAGCTGTTTCGTATGATTTCTTTTCAACTGGAAACAAATCATCATAAATGCAATGATAAGAACAACTAGGGTTATAGTTCTTTTGTTTCTGTATGATAATATAGAAACCATTACTACCCTGTTGGCTGCTTCGTTCCTCTTTTCTTTTTTGAAACAACTTCACCTACAAAAAACAAATATTTATCAATTATGGACTTTTGACGAGGTCAATACGTTTTATATGAGCCTGTTTAGATTATATTGACCGAAGACGAAGTCCTTAATTCATATATTCCATATGTAAAAAGTAAAATAACAAAAATACCGAACTCCAAAGAAAATTCAAACGGAAAGTCCTTATCAAATGGCAAAATCAAAAGCTCAAACACATCAAACGAAAGCATCTGAAAATGTTCTTACTAACACAAATAGAATCTGTATCTGAAATCTGAATCTGACAGTAACAACAGGGACATTCACAGCAATCCTTATCCTAGACAAATCACCTGAATAGTAGTGAAAGTGTTTTTTTCTTCTTAACATGTTGTTAAAACTTTACATAACAACTAGAATTTACTGTTCTATTTTGTAGAGGACAGTAGGTAGTATGAAAATATCTTTTAGTGCACATTCTCAAGTGTCGGTGTCCTAGTTAATTTAAAAAAAAACATATATTTCTTTTTTTTTTTAAGATGAATAATAATTATTATTTCATAGTCAGAAAAAATTTTAAATATTGATTACATGCAGCTGGTTACTCTTCATATTTTCTTATCTAAGACTGTCTGGACTTTGACAAAATTTAATTACTACATGGTCAAATCTGTCACGTCAAACTCCCGCCAGATGCTGAATTAGTGTTGTTAAGGGATGGTCAGTGCACAAATAATGCAAAATTTACAGTTTAAATGTATAAAAGAGACAAAATGTGTGGTTTTATTGATAACATAATGGTGTCAGAACACTCCTGGTGTGTTCCCAGAGGAATTTTGATATTTATGTTGCATTCAGCTTTGAAATTAGCAAACGGGATTTCAAAAATCAATTGAATAGTTTTGGAGAAATTAACCTTTAAATACTGTTGGTTGGAGTAAAACACGGTCTGACTGTAGTGTTACCTTAAGTAGAACAAATAAAAAACAACGTTGAAGAGCATTGAACCCAAAATTCCGAAAAGTTTTGCCAAATACAGATAAAGTAATCTCTTCTTAGGATAGAAAATCCTTATTATTTGTAAATATTTAAAGTTTTGTAAACAGTTAATTTTATAATTATGAGAATATCAATTCATGTCAACACAGGAGTGCTAACTACTGGGCTGTTAATACCCTCGGGGAGGAAAACTCCACCAGCAGTAGCATCGACCCAGTGGTTGTAAATAAACTCATCATAGATAACAGGATAATAATTGCGTTTCGTCTACTACATTGTCATGACAAATTCTTCAAAAAGGATCAAAAAGGGTCAACCAATCTTTTTGGTCATTTTAGCATTCTTGTAGATCTAGTTTTGCTGATTATGTTTGTTGTATAAAGTTCAACCTATCTTTTATAGTTTTGAGGTAATAGACCCAAAATTTTTAAAATAGTCAAAATTCTCTTGAAAGACAACAACCATTACATGAGTCATACGGCAATCACTGTTTTTAAGATACTACTCAAATTCTCGTAAATAAGTCAAAATTATCATGAATGGTCAATAACTCCTATAACGTTAGTGTAAACAGGAAGGAGGTAGATCTTGAAAAATTAAGCTTTTATGTCCATGTCCAATTTCCAAATCTATTAAGATTTATTAAATTAGATAATAAATGCAGTTTACCCATATGCTCTGTTTTCATCCATAACGGCAATATTTGTTGACTTACCTAATAAAAGCTCTTTATACTAGATACCTCATAGAACAGTCAACCCATGTTTGGTTGAGATTTTTTTCAGTAGTTTCAGTGGAAAAAAATCATTAAAACAGTTTACGATGGACATCGGACACAAGACGGCATACGCCAAGTGATGAAAAAAAGCTCAGAAGGCATTTTAGGCCAAATAAGAAAAAAAAGGAATATTGAAGCATTGGAAAATATTTGGTGAGACAGGAAACAAAACAAATGTGTTAGACAAAATAAGTTAGACTGTTTATGACGTATGTGAAAAACTCCATCGGAGTTGCGTACTAATTGATATTTTTTTTTCTCTGATACATGATTTGTTACTAGTTGTTTTTGGCTTTGACAAAACTTTCAGCAATTGCGAGTTCTCTTATTCATGTTATCTTTTTTAGCTGCTTTTTGTGTGCTTTGTTTCGATCTGATGAATCAAGTTTTTTTTGCTGATTTTTATACTTTGTTATACTGTTTTTTTATTGTGCTGTTACACCACTGTTCCAAATTCGAGGAGGGTTGGTTGCCCACTAATATGTTAAACCCCGCCACATTATGTATGTGCCTGTTCCAAGTCAGGAGTCTGTAATTCAGTGGTTCTCGTTTGTTGTTGTATATTATATTTATTTTTCGGTTATTGCAGTTAACATAGATCATGTCGTTAGTTTTTTTCGTTTCAATGATTAAATTTGTCATGTCGGTGCCTTTTATATCTTGCTATCAATTTATTATTATTGAAGGCCATACACCGACCTATAGTTGATAACATCTACGTCATTTTGGTCTCTTGTAAAGTTGTCTTATTAGCAATCATTCCATATCATATCATATTCCATATTATATAGATATAACGAGTTCTTATTTCCGGGTTTGGATTCTGTTTGCGTCCTGTCTGTTAAATCATGAAATACATTTATAGTATCATGCTGTTTTCGAATAAGTTATGGATTATTAAAATTGTATAAAAGAGAAGAAGTGTTATAGATACATAGATAAGCGTTAATTCTTGAAAAAAAAACACGAACCCGGAGGGCGAATGTTTTGTTTTTCGTGAATCAACGCTTATCCATTGTGTCTCTAACTTAAACAATTGTTCTAATGTCTTTTTCAAAATAAAAGCATTTTCTTAATTAGAGAGTTGAAATAACCCTGTTATCATGTTCAACGATGCATTTATAAATCAAAGTTCACAATTGATTGGTTAGAGAAATACAAATATAACATAACACGTCTGTCCTTTAATCATTAGGCATCTGAATATCATCCGTAATTAACAAAAATAAAACGTATTCGAACTTATTTTTGAGTATATGTGACAGCGATATATTCCTCTTTGTTTTATTTCGTGGAAATTCAAACTTTACCTAAAAGCAAGCGACTATTGTTCTCGAAATTGTTAGCTTACATGTTGAGAAGTTAATCCATTTTAATCCTAGCATTGTCCATTTCTTGTTATCATATATATGTTTTTTAATTGTATTATTTGTTTGAATCATTAAGTGACAAATTTCATTATTACATGTAGTTATGATTAAGTAAGATTACTTAATTCATATTAGATCGTTTCTAAGTAAATGGTCAGTTGGATACCAGCGGTCAAGCTGTACGGACGCCGTGCATTTTACAGTGACATTCATTGTATTTAGTATAGAACATTTATTGGAATTACCAGTTGTTTTATCTTTTTGGAATATTTACCGTTGAATTTTTATTGTAATTTTTTTGAACTATTGAGGAAGTTATATATAAACCATCGTAAAGCTTATCTTAGTTTTGTTGACTTTAGCCAGTGAGTCCCCCCCCCCCCCCCCCCCGAATTCTTAATATAACAGGAACGACGAAAACCCCTGTTATAAATTGGTGGAGGACCCGGGCAGTTTGTTTAGTTTCACACTTATTAGACAAACTGTACACAAGATCATACCTACACTCTACAACTTCATAATGGATTACAAATTGAGACAAAGATTTAATTGGTGGTGTCCACCTGAGCCTAGAAGGAAATGCAATATTAATAATCAGCTATTTTTCGTAGAAAACGATAACAATCCAGAACGTTCGGATTTTCTTCGGGTCGTCATTTCAAATATCGACAAAACAGTGAGATGTTTCCGCTGTGGACAAACAGGACATTTTTATAAGCAATGTGCAGAAATCAAAATAAAATCAAAGAAAAAGCTAGACAGAGATTTCGAAAGACTTTCCTCATTTATACTGCGTAAAACTTGTGAGAATTTTCCTTTCTTCACCTTGGACGATGCAGAATTTCGTAAAGCAACACGAACAAATTCAATTCTACATTTCCAGGTTAATTTACTTCAAACGAATCAAACCCAAATTTCGAAAGAAAAAGTGAAACTTGAATCAGTCGTTGATTTAATAAAGGATCAATTGAAAGAAAACAGAAAATCGCTGAGACAGGAAATCGAGTTTCTTAAATCAAGAGAACAAAACATTAAAAACCAAACCCCAGAAAGCAATTTCTAAAAGCACAGAACTATAGCGAGAAATAGAATTTCGGAATCTTGAAAACGATAAATTGGAGAGAACAATCGGAATGCTCTACATCAAAATATCAGGCTTGGACGTATCAGAACTAGCAAACAAAAAGAAGATAAAAGATTTAACCACTAGTTGCAGGAAATTAGAAACGGAAATTAACGCTTTAAGATATGACTCTTGTGACTGCAAATTTCGAAATCAATCGATGTCACGGCAGAATCAAAACAAAAGACAAAATTTAAACCACGATCCATCCCGTGGAAGAAACCCATCCCATGGAAGAAGACAGTATTTTTATTAGACTCTGGAACAGAGTCTTTTTTTCAGTTTGAGGGAATTTGTGACAGCGATATATTCCTCTTTGTGTCAAATCAAATCATACTGTATTTATAAAACAAAAATAGACAAATTGAATGTAATCATTTTCTTTTCAAATACGTGAAATAGCTAATATTAATCAAAAAATAAACGGGAAAACCCGCTACTATTACAAAAATATCCACTATTAAATACAAAATAAGAAAAATGGAAACACTTAAGAAAAGGGACAACATAGAGAAAAAACAGGGATTCGAACCTCTACTTCTTACTCAATTCTACAACTCCTTGATCTGAACCTCGCGGCTACCAACTTATACTATACGATTGCTTATTATATATAAATTAAGGTATATCCTGTGTGTCC